TTGCACTTTGTCCCAATGAAAAAAGTGTAAGAGGGCTCAGACATGAGCTCCCGCAGTGGGGGGAACAGCAGCACATGAAGGTGCTGCCTGGATACTTTCCCCACTGCTCCCATTGGTGGGAGGCCATGCCTAGGACACAATGCTGAGAGCAGAGGAGGGTGCAAAGACAGGTAAGTGCCCCCCTTCTCCTCTTCCCCAGATCCCATCCTCCACCTCCATGCACTTTCCCTGCAGAGACCCCACACCACCAGCCTTCTCTTGCACCCAAACCCCCACCCAGATCTTGCACCCTCACCCTCTCTGCACCCCACCCTTCTGCCCCGATCCTGCACCCCCATCCCTATCCCATTTGCTGGCAGCCTTGTCCCACACACTGAATCCCTCATTTTTGGCCCCATTCCAGAGCCTAGTGGGAGTCCACAAAATCCACTAACCCTGGAACCACAGAAGAGTTAATCTGGCCTATGAGAAGCCCTGAAACTCACTCTTGCTTGTCCTGCCCTCTCCCTGGAACTGGAGCTTCTCACTTGTGAGATCCTTCACTGACTTTTCTGAGAGTCAGTGGCCTGCAACCTAAAAATGTCTTCCATCCCTGCCATAAATAAAGCCTATGTTGAAATCTTTTGTGTTGGACATAAATTAACATTTTACTTTATTTAAAATTAAGTCTGGTACACTAGCATAATAAAGAAGTTAAAGTGCTTAATCTGTTTAATAATTTTGATTAGTATTTTTCTTACAGATTAAACCAAACCATTTTCCCTAGCTGCAGCACTAGGAAAGTTGCTTGAGTGTATAATTAATGGCAAACTTCTATTAGCAGTTAGTGGTCTGAAGCAAGGTTTGCATTAAAAGTGGGTGGGCCACAGGCCAAAAAGTTTGAGACCCATTGTGCTAGAGGGAAATGTTTCCATTGTCAGTGCAAACACACCTAGTTGGAATGGACATGAACAAGCACTTTAACAAGCAGGGAGATCTCCAAAAGGACTAAAATAACCCTCTTGCACCTCAGTCTGAGTATGGAAATATTTTATTGGTCAAGGACTTACAGCACTGGAAAAAAGAGTAAAGGACAAACTCTAGAACAGAGTTCTGTACACAATTTAAAGTTAGAAAGAAAAATAGTTATTTTCTGCACTAATGCCTTTGAAATTAGTCTTTATATAAAAGATTGTTTGTTTCCATTATGTTTGTGGATAGTATAGTGAAATTATGAGTTCCTGTTTAGAAAAAAATAGATATTCTAATCCATGAAACACCCTGTGTTGCTTGTTCATAGCAGAAAGATTCATAAAATGCACTGCACTTTTTCCATTGTGGAACACATTAGATCTGCTTGGGTAATCCCAAATAGAAAACATAAAAACACAAAAATCCACCAGATGGCAGCATACTAAAATATTTATTGCATTGTACCTTAAAGAGATGCTCAAAGTGATGTTAAAAACATTTCTCAATGAATATTGAATCTTTCTCTTTCTTTCTGATTTATTTTATATACTGTACTATATTATATCTAGTCCAGTGTGAAATGCACAATATATCCATTGGTTTCAAAGGAGCTGCTTGCGAATTTGTAGCTAAAATTGTAATCTAATACATTACCTGGATTGATTTCAGTGTAATTAACAATACTTATAACATAGTAGGGTATCAGTGGGGTTAATTTCATACAGCTAATCACTCTACATATTATCTAAATGATGAAGAAAATTGCATCTCCCAATACCATTTACATTTTGGGGGTTACATTTTCAGAAGTGCTGAAGTAATTTAGGAGCCCAAATGTAGACCCGAGCAAGGAATGGTAATATTTTAAAATGTTCTTTTGTTTCAATTGGAACAACCCCCCAAAATACTTAAGTAAAACAGAATTACCCTTCATTGTTCAGTTCTACCAGGATTCCTAGTTTTAGGGCAGTCCACCTGAGCCATGGATCACAGGAGCCCTAATTATGTGACGACCCATTATGTAATCTCTCTTAAAGGAAACAGAGAAGTCATGAGCCAGGGATATAACACTCTCAAGGTTTCCATACTCTTGGCTCCCCAGCAGCCCACCAGGTAAGACTGCCAAGAGCCTGGACATGAGAATTGGCAGGAAATCATTTTTTTTCCATCAAAATCAAACTGTCTTTGTGAAAGATATATGTTTTGATGAACTGGCAAATTTTGACAAAAAACAAACGCATTTTTTTAAAGTTTTCCAACAGTGATTCTCCTGGTTTTCTAAGTTTTTTAGGCACTTAAGAGTCTAAGTTTCATTGTCCCTGCACCTTACTGTTTCTCTTCATTACATTGTTAGCTCTGGGTATAATTTGAGTTTTGTGACTAACCCAACACCCATTCACACATAAAAACCTGTAACTTATGTTGTATGGTACTTTTAACTTGAGCTAGTTGTCCTGTTGCAGGGAAGGAGAGTTAACATTTGAGTGCTCCTGATGCTCAAGCTAGCAGTGGCATTACAATGCCATAGCCATCGCCTACTAATCCAATTACTCTTTTGCAGTCTGAGTGCTGTTTCACAGTGTGGCTACTTTCACTCAAGTTATGCTGTCGCAAATATAATTTAAATCAGGTAACTGTTGTAGGGAAGACAAACCCTTAAATCCTATTTGCCAACTTGCCTTTGAAAATTAGTTTGGGCTTCTAAATCACCTCCTGGCTTTTGAAAATGTATCTTCATATTTAAGTTTATTGAATGGACTGAGTTAGTCCCACATATTTCCAATATTTCACAAGTGATTCAAAGTTCTATGAACTTACCTTGAAGAGTATTGCGCATTGAAGTTGCTGGATAGTGCATACCCTGAACATTTTTGTCAAAATTAAAAACATTGACCATTTCAGGAAGATAATCTTGAAATCCCAATATTTCACCCTAAACATATCACATCTCAAACATTTTTTCCTTAAACTCATTTATCATTTGTGACATTGTTTGTTGCTGATGGACTCACATACAAGCTTGTGCTCTTATTCTATTATCAGACTGAAGGCAAAGACTGTCTTCCAGTGTCCAGGATAATTGACCCCTGATCTTCAACTGGGGTGTTTCAGCACTACCAGAATACAAATAGTTCATAAACTTCTCTTCCACTTTCTTATTTCCATTTTAATGTATTTTTACACTAACTTGATGTGTTAGGTTACAAGCAAAGGCTATGTTAAAGACTATGGTTAAAACTGAATCTAGCTAATGTTAAAAATAAATTTTATGTTAAAATTACAAGTAGATAGTGCTAAGGTTATGTTTAGGATTATTGCTGTACTTAGGGTTATGTGAAGTAGACAATAAAATAATGTTTTACATAAACATGCCATTTTTACAAATGCCAGTTTTTCCCCTAGAATAGTCTGTTCTTTTTATAGTGACATAATAGTTACTCAGAAGGCTTTTAAAAACATCAAGAATTGTCCTTGTCAACACCCCAATTGCCTCAACACTGTGTATCCAACTCCCAGGAAAAAAACTGCAATATTAAGTTACATAAATTATTGTTAAAGACAAAGTACATCAAGATGATATTGTCAGGCTGGGGAGTCCACTGGTTTATGTTTTTTCAGCTATATGGAATTGGAATTTAACTCTTTTCTAGAATGGTATTTGATGAGAAAAATGAGTAAATGCATTACACAACTAGTGAAGACATATATCGGGGGGGATAGCTGAGTTGTTTGAGCATTGGCCTGCTAAACCTAGCGTTGTGAGTTCAATCCTTGCAGAGGCCATTTAGGGATTTGGGGCAACAATTTGTCAGGGATGGTACTTGGTCCTGCTGTGAAGGCAGGGGCCTGGACTCAATGACCCTTCAAGGTCCCTTCCAGTTCTAGGAGATAGGCAGTCTCCATTCCTTTATTTATTTATCAGATGTAGAACTATCTGATAAAGTTCATGAACTTGCTTTGGGACTTGCTGTAGCACTCTAAATGTTTGGATTTCAGATAGCTACTGTTTTCTTTTTTTTCCCTTTTAAAATGTGATATTTGCCCAAGACGCTGGATAAAATCCCAGATCACTGGCAACTTAACATAGGGAATAATGGGCCTGATTCACCACGATACCACCTTTGGAATAAAACTAGACCACAGTGGTGCATAAGGCTCTGTATTTCACAAGTTATTAATCATAGAAGTTCCCCTCATTTTCTGACATGAAGCACTCTTTCTAGTCCTGACTCATTGTGAGATGCCACATCTTAAAAACAATACTGTATGTGCAAACTTTTACAGTAATATTTAGGTTTTCAAATTTGAATTGCCTTCCAATGGGAGCAAAAGGGGCAAAAACCATAACTGGTTTCAAGACTGAGCTCGAGAAAGGGGATGGCGTAATAATACTGTCTACAATAGATTGTGACTGCTGATGATTAGCAGTCCTATTATACCACCCCCCTTCTCAAGCTCAGTCATATTTGCAGTTGGGAAGGAATTTTCCCTGGGTCAGATTGGCAGAGAATCTGGACGTTTTTCACCCTCCTCTGAAGCATGGCATATGAATCCTTGCAGGTTTACACTAGTGTCAATAGAGTCCCTGTAACTTGAAGTCTAAGCATTATGCAGGATATCAGACTAGACCATGATGATCCCCCTCTGACATCAACATTTATGAGTATCTTTTCTCTCCTGTCAAGGCTTGCAGCGTTAGACTCAGGAGTTTTTACAAGCTGTAGGACCTGAAAAATAGTTCTAACAAACTTTAAAATTCTGTAAAATATTTCTAAATATACAAAATCCATCATCATGATGTACAATAAATGGAATACTGCCAGGGCCATAGGAGAGACAATTTTCAAAACCAAACTAACAAGATAGATCAGGAAAGTCATTGCTCAGAAACTAAAGGAAAACTCTGTTATTGGCCTATCAAAATACTTCAGCTGTTCCTTTTCAACTAATAGTTTGGAAGAACAGAAATAAACATTTTATTGCATTGTGCTTTTTCACCACACTTTGTACAACACAATTTACTGTGAAATAAAACCACACACACAGTATCAGCAGAAATCACAAATTTATTCATTCTTAAATATATCTGTCAGTCATTTACCATTATGGCAAGAAATATGTACACCATGTCCCATGGGTAAACTGCAGTGTTCCAAAATGATAGAAGATAAGCATGTTATTTGACTGTGGTGGAGAGAACGAGTCACAATTTCCTCACATATTGGTGTGGAAGACAAACTTGATCTACAGTAATACGTCAACACCACATGCTATGTTAAAGTGTAAAAAACCCCACCCTACACCTAATTTTGTTAAATTTAAATACATTTATACTACTTATAGCTGCTTCACAAAAAAAGTAAAGAAATAAACGAGAAAAAAATTAGGCCATTACTTTTTTGTTTTTCACAGATCCCATTGGCAGGTTAATATGGCTCAACACATTTACTGTAAATGCTTATTTTAAATATACATTGTTTTAAATCATGTAATAATTATCAGAGAAGCTTAAATCCATCTACTGTACATCCACTAGTAACAACATCAAAGTGTAAGGGAACGTTTTTGATTTATAATCAACACAAAGTAAAATTATACAAATTAGGAAGTCTTCCCATTTTAAAAATTTCAGGCTGTTGAGAGCTGTAAATTGTAATTGCTAAAAAGAACACTGATATATCATGCACTATAGAGTACTGCAGAAAACAATTAGCCCCACTGATAATAAAACAATTAACAAAACAAGAAAAACCAGTCAACCCCTGTATTTTTCTATTAAAAATGGGTGGGGGGGAGGGAAGGAAGGGGATGAAATCTAAATGCTTGCAGGAATATACATTCAGAGCTATAAAATAGAAGCAAAAAACGTTCAGGTCACTAAGTACATGTTTTAAATTGACATCAAGAACGTTCCCTGCTTACTCTACAGGGATATGCAGCGACAGAAAAAAACAAAACAGTAAGATATTCTGCAATAGTTGTTGTTCCTAATATTATGCACTGTGCAAGGATTTTAATAAGCCAAGAGCAAATGGGGGAAAATACCATTATAAAGTGTTACAGTATTAGAAAATTGGAATATTTATGATAGTTTGTCAGAGTAGAAGCCGCTACAACAGAAAGTAAAGAAGCTCTTTATACTAAGCTTGTAAGGCTTAATATTTCTAGGTGAAACTAACCACATATCTGGACCAGAGCATAAAATAAAATAATCTAAAGCCTCCTTAATAAATTTACTGTACATCCTAAAAGTGATACAAATCTATTTTGTTTTACTCTTTCACTTTAATCATCAAAAACTATCTCCTTAGTCTTCATTCCGAATAAATTTTAATTTTGCTCTTTTCTCTCCCAATATAAATTTTCAGTTAGCATAAAAAAGTAAAGGTAAAGATTAAAAAAAAAAGAAAAAATATCACTGATTAGTCAGAACAATAAAAGCTAATTCTAAAGTATTCAAGTTAGTAAATGATGCAATTATTCCAGTTTAATAACTAAAATGGCTTCAGGTGGTACCACCTCAACATAATTTGCTACCACATTCATTGATTTTATCCATTTTTCTGTTCCAACAAAAATTATTCTGCAGTAGCAAAGCTGTTAGTAGAAATCGATGAGCTTCCCAACATGGACAAAAGCAAAACCGAGTGGTTTTGAAAACAAATAAGCCATAAACCACTTGTTTAAAAAATGGAAACAAAACGAGACTTTTTTTTTTTACGACCATGGTAATTTTAAAGTTATTTGTTAAAACTTAGCATTAACAGAGAAAATTACATACGATTGCACATCTACTACTGTATTCTTATTTTTGGCTTTTATTCTTTTTGCTTTGCCATTTTCAATTTGCATGGAACATCTTCTTAATTGAAGTGTAAACAAAATATACAGATGGAATATACAACAAAATGATGCATCACAAATGCATTACATGTAGAACCGTCATGGCTTCATGCACTCAGAAACATGCATGAAGAGAAGAACAGGATGGCCCACATGGTAACCAATCAGGTGCTTTGAGTACGGAGAATGCAAGAGTGGCATTGTTGAATTTTAGCTAGGAGGAGGAAAAACCACAATATTACTGTTATTGACTTAGTGATATTTCCACTTTATGCAACATACTACAAGTGTTGGAATAATACTATGACGTCTTCCCCAATCTACAACCTTTCAGGATACTGCACTGAGAAGCACAGAAACAAG